GAAAAATTACCGAAAGAATATACATAGGAAAAACCCATGAAAATCTTAATTGTTTCAAAAATATCGACGATATTTTTTAAGAACAGAACAATCTCAACCAATTTTTTTGAAATGTTATTGTTAAAGTTCAACATTATTGAATTCGAATCAAATTAACATAAATGTATTTTTTTTGTATTAGTTCTCTTTTAATATATTCCATTAGTATGTTTGTGGCGGCGCCAGAGTTGCCATAAGTCCGGATTTTGCCTGGACAGTCTTTCAGATTTCACGTTTCATCGCGTTTACAAAGTCACGTTTAGAAAAGTTTGCACGTAAAAAATTAGCACAAGGGTTCCGTACCAGTAATGAGCAGAAAAAATCACGTCTGTTGTATGGCAGCTCCCTTAAATATTTATTTTATTCTGATTTTCAATATTTCATCTGTGAAAATTTCAAGTGTCTAACTTTCACGGTTCATAGCATACAGCTTGGTGACAGACAGACAGACAGCGAAGTCTTAGTAATGGGGTTCCCGTTTTATCCTTTGGGTACCTAATCATGACTGTGATGCGCACGTGACGTTCGTATTTAGTAAGTTCTGCGCATTCAACATAATGTCATTATTCTATGACATTTCTAGTATGAGGGTTGACTTTAAATTTGCTAAATAATAACGAGTTACACACAATTCTCGAATATATGATACAACATTGAAATCCAATGATTTTGAACTCATCAAATTAACATTTGCTTCAATACCTAATATTAGTGGTAATGCAACTGCATTCATAACTTATTACTTAGAGTAAACAACTCGTATAAACCAAAAGCGGCAAACGTCGGAACCCACGCGAATGATGGTCGCGTGGGAATCCGCTTATTTCAAGGCGAAGATCCCGGTATAGATTTCTTGGTTTCTCCCACACATGCAATTAAAACTAAATAGGTAAGTTGAAACCATACCATTTTGGAAAGAATATAGAAAAAGTTGTTCGAAGCAATCGTTTCATTTAAAAGTCACATGGATATGGTCAAAAACAATAATTTCAACATTGTGATTAAAGCAGCTATATGACATTAATTAACGTATATAATTAATTTTGATATACTATTGCTATGTAAGTTCGATGAGGACCATGGTTTTTCAAACTCTGCTTTAGCACAAGGACCTCTAAAAGCATAACTTTACGATCTGCATTTTGGTAACATTTTACATTCTGTCAGCATTGATAATTTCTTATTCACCTAATTATATAAAAAAAAACTTTTATTAAACTACAATTCACAATAAATCTAAATATTTCAGGCAAATCTCTGCAGCGGTCAACGTTCATTACTCGAAATATCATAATCTGTTGATTGATATTGAGATCGAGCTTCCGCTGGATGTTAAAGGATTTTAGACTTTCCTCTTCACAATATTATTAAGTATATAATAGATAATTATAAAGGATTCTCTGTTTTATCATGTAACTATAGGTAGTTAAATGATAAAACAGAGAATCCTTTTTTCTATGTTGGTATATTCTATGTTGTTACACCTACAGTAGGCAACTGTAGACAACATAGAATAAATATAGATTAATTGACCCATTACTACTCAGCTACACGGTCTAAGGTCAAGAATCAAGGTGGTCAATTGAATCATTGATTCTTGTACCATTCTGTAAATGAGATAATATAAGAACACACCTTTATTTAATTTTATTGAAATTAATACAATATGGTAATTCATTAACCGATTTCTTAAACGATATATAAGTATGAAATACGATTGTGTATGTAAATGAAATAAGGTTTTGTAAGCAAAGTAATGTATAGGGGATAAATAAAAAAAAAACATTATTATCCTAAAAAAAAAACGTTATTTTTGGAAGCAAGTATAAAATGGTAATTATATTTAGTTCATGCCGTATCGCCATACGGGGGCAGTGATCGGTTTCAAATATTTACACGTTACGTGAGACGTGACGGCACTAATACCTCATAGAAACTGCAGTGCTATTTTGTGTAAATTACAGCGTCGAAGCGCTGTCACAGCGTTATTTATTCGGTTTTTTTTTTGCTAATACATGAATGAAATCTACTGAAAAGCTTATCATTTTAGTTTCATTTGATTGGACTATCAATGCTGTGACAGTGCTCTGTACCTTTCTTTGTTTGAAGCTGTATCTTTACAGAATGTCAAAGCTGATCCGCGCAGGGCGGGTTGGGGTGGTATTACTATAGAAAAAAGAAAGAGGGAAAGATTGAAGGGCTAACTTTGTGTAGTAATAAATACAAATGGACTTGGTTTAAGTATCTCATTTAAATTGTTCTTAAAAAGTACTTAAACAATGACAAAAAATTTATATATAACAATATTTATGTTCTAGTCAAAAATGAGTTATAACTCGTAAAGTAAAACCCTGAATAATTATTGTTTTGTTTTTGTTTAAAAAAGGTTGAAGGCAATTTGGAATATATAGCACAAATCTAAGTTTTGCAATTAATACCTAAATTACAACTATTTTGTAGATTACGTACTTTTTTACAATACGACAGACATCGTAAGCAGAAGACTGCTGACCCTTTGTTTTTCAGTAGCATTTTTATTCATTGTCATAACTTTCATTTTTTTCTTCTTCCATCTTGACCTCCCTTTCCCTGTTCTTCAAATTCAGAAATTCATATTTAAAACAAACAATAACTTATAAATCGTAAGGTATGAAATAATGAACTAAATTTAATTCAAAGAAAAATAGAAACATTATAATATAGCATTTACCGTAACTGGGAAATACTTCATTATTACGTTCCTAAAAAAAGCTCGATTGCTACTGTTATGTGATGTCATTTTATCATTAAAGCTTATTATCACATTTGATTTCAAGGGAACAGTCACTGTTTAATTGGTATGACATTTTATTGTATTCGGGCATGTCTTACGCAGATTAGATTGATAGTATGACTAATATGAATATTGGTCAATGAATGGATGAGAATTCTCGGTACCAGATTGAAGTTTTTAGCGACTTATAGACTTTTATGACATCATCTTTGTGTTGGTGGCTGAAACATTGGCGCCCGAGGTTAGAACCAACAGTATGTAATGAAACGAGTAAAGAACAGTACGTTCTTTAGCTACTTCATGTGAAATGTTCAATTAGACGATATCGAATAGTTTTAAAGAATCATCTGTGATATTAAATTTAGAGAAGATTGTGAGTGCGTTTTATTACTATTTTGAATAATGGAGTTTTTGAAGAACATATGGAGAAATTATTTTGGGAGGAAGCAAAAATATGTCATAGTTCCTTTTCAACCGGGTAAGTTTTGGAATAGAGGCTTTTAGCGTTTAATGATATTTTGTTAGAAGTATGTTAGTTTAATTAAATGGAATATTTAAGAGAAACAAAAAAATTACGTCATTTACAAAAGTTGAATACTAATTTATCAACTCGCATCTATTAATCTCACGGAATTATAACTTTAGTAAACAAGTCATTTATAGTTTTTTGCTAGTATACGTATTTTGACCAATTTCAATCATTTAATTAAGTTGTTAAGATCTTCCTAATGTGGCTACAGTAGAGGGTTAATCATTGTTATTAGTATTTATGTCTCTACTATAGTTGCTCTAACTAAACTTCAATAGTATTGTATACAATCTACTATGAGAAGAATCTTCTTTTATATTGATTACGGACAGTTAGTATCTATTTGCAGGTAATTAGAACCAAACTTTCGGACTTTATCCTGATATAATCACTTAAACTCTGGATTAATTCCCTGTAATTGATTATCATTCCCTGGAATCCATTTCTCGCAGTAATACTAGGGCATAAATAAATTCTAGATTAAAAAACTATCATAGCAAAGAGTTCGACTAGACGTTTGTAACTAATGAAAAACGAACTAAAAAAATAGACCTTTAAGTAGGAAATTCGTTTACCTTAGTATAGGAGGTTCGTAGTGATTGAATTTCTTTTGTTTTTAATAATATTCAGATGGTGCTTTTAAGGTTTAAAAGCGTAAATATAATCAAGGAGTTTTTAATGATACGAGTAAAATAAAAGGCATTTAAATACGTTAGACTTATTCAGTTGAAGTATTTATAGCTGATGAGCAAATTTCACGCATCCATGAATCCAATGTCAGAGGTGTTTCCTTTCAATTTCTGGCTGCTGTTAGATTTGAAAATTATTTTATATTTAATTACAAGAAAAGTGAAGATACAAAGTAATGCTTAGTTTTACGGATACCATTTCAGTACTATGAAATATGGTTTCGTAATGTATAGTTTCAGCGATCTACCAGTATTTTGTCATACCTACTATTCCATGCCATAAATTAAAATTAATATTATATGGTCATCATCATTAACCTAATGTCCCCTATGCTGGGGCACAGGCCAGTGCGGATTGGTGTATGTTAAGAACTGCAGGTGTAACCAGGACCAACGACTCAACGTGCCTTAAGAAGCATGGAGGATCTCGCAATAATAAATTTTTTGATCACCCATCCTATGAATGCGCTAATCATAGCGCCATAGAGCTCTTGTTTTTAAAGTCGTTATTATGGTAAAATTTTATGGTCACTACCATGTGAACGAGAAAAATATTAGTATTAAACAAACGTATGACCTATACCTATATATTTCGGAGTCGATCTAAAAAGTAGTAAATCCAAAAATAGTTGAACATTTTAAGAGACGTAAATTATATTCCAATTTAAACTAAATGATTGATGTTCTGGGAACAAGGGTGATATTGTGCATACGTCTCACTCAACGTAGTCTTGGGCCAGCTCATTATGAATTATTTATGATATTCTGGTATCTGGTATTCGTTTGTGACACGTAGTGTGTAATATGCGTGGCCCAAGAATTCGTTATTTGTTCCCTTATTGGGATTTGGCTAGCGTCTCTATTTTTTCCACAAAGAATTATTAAAATAAGGAAACAAAAGAAACCTGTAATGTTGTCCTAGAGCCGGCTGCTCCGACTATACCTTAACTATTCTTTTATTAATTTAAAGATGTCATCGATGCGACGAAGCAAGGCGTGCTCGCGGTGCAAGGCATCGACTTTTGTTTTGAAGCCAACGGCGAGAATCACCATACCAACAAATTCAACCTGATGACGCGTGCGGTAGACCGCTGTCTCGTAATCAGACGAGGACAGGCTTTCAAACTGGACCTTCTCTTGAACAGACCGTACGATGCTAGCAAAGATGCGGTTTCATTCATATTCAATGTTTCAGGTATTGTTGTTTTTTAAACTCTATCTATTTTCTTGTCATGTGCCTGTATCGTCTTCGTAAAGCGAAAACTCATTAATGAGCCGATAATTTAGGAAAGCGCTGTGTGGAGTCTGCCCGCAAATTTAGAAAATATGACTCAATTTACTATAAAAAATAATTTTGGTTGTTTTTTTTTTAGATTCCGTTTCTCTCGATTATAATTTATTCTTGCACTTGCATTTATTCTTACTTCAAGAGTAATAAAGCCTAAAAAATTGACAGGAATAGTTTGAAAACGCATCAAGTTTATTATGACAAACCCACAAATTGGGAACGCCTGTTCAGAATTAGTTTTTCTTTATAAGCTATATGAGAAAAAATACAAGATTAATAAATGTAACAACTTTTAAACGGTTTCATCGCGTTTTTATTTTTGTTTAATTGACATTTCGGGCCCTATACATGTTCCGTGTTCACATTAAACTAAGGTGTTGATTGTCTGCTACCTTCAAAATAATACTATTGGACATATTGACAATACAATATTTTTTATATTAAATGGAATTTATTAAATTAATTTCTGTTAAAAATATATTTGACTTAATTATTTACCCCTGGCTACCGTAATCTGTCACCAGTTCCAAATTTGGGTTTCTTGTCTGAGAAGAACTGAATAAACAAACTCTGACAAGAAAAGTGAATTTCTCCCTTTGATTTAATATTTACCAAATGAATTAACAGTAACTTTTTTTTGTAATGTGTGATCTGCATTGAGATTTTATTTGACTTATAACTGGATCCCAAGCCGGTGGTTTATTCCAACCTTCATCTCTATTAAAATTAGGATGTTTTTTAAATTCAATAACCACGCGCATTATTCTTTTTCAGTCGCAAGAATTTTTGGATTGTCAAATCTTATGTAATGCTTAGGTCCTCCTAACGCATGTTCACACACTGCATATTCATTTTCGCGCCTATACTTAACGTCAGCTAAATTTTCTATGACATTACATCATGACACTGGAAACGTTTTATGTCAATACTAAATCGTGAGTTCTGTAATGTGAATTTTAATCACTACACTAGTTTTCGCTTTACGACGTCGATAATTTTTTTTCATATTATTGATAGCTGGTTTGATCATTGCCAATTATTTGCTAATTATTTTGGGTTGATTTCCATGCAAACTGTATTATGGTATATCGGAATGTTTGAATATATCATCTTATGTTTATTAAAGGTGTAGGAAGTTAAGGACTGGCAGTTACAAGATCACCATAACCATAGCTTAGACAGTGCATACAATTATAAACGTGGGCGTAGTAATAAATGAATTATTTATGCAATCGTTTATAATGTGATGTAGTAATTCATACGATATTAAAATGAATAAAATAGCACATGTCATTTCATTTATAAAATCAACAAAACCATAAATTAACTATGTTAAGTATTTATAAACAACATTGTTTGAAATCTTTTTTGCTTTCTCTTCCCATTTTCCTAATTTCTACTATTTTATGTCTTTTTTCCAAATTCGACTTTGAGTTAACATTGTTTATTTATTTGGTACTATGCTTTAATGGTGTTGGCTTGTGAACAATTGTTACATTTACCTTATATTCATCATATAATATTTTTAACTCTTCTTTATAATCTAAACACGATCTTGCAATATTTTTTTTGCGCTTGAGTGTACATTTTCTGTACTTTAGGATTTTCTTTATATCACGGCACTCAAACTAATTTTCCATGGCTTATACTAATATTTAATTTTTTGTCGATCGCGACAATAGATGCGTTATCTGAATCAGATGCGACGATGCGTGGGCCGTCAAACGAGATGTCGGCTGCTGTGCCACTTCTGGAGAAAGGCTTCGAGACCGTAGGAGGCTGGTCGGCCGTATACGAAGGCCAGATGGATTCCCATCTCATGGTGGCGGTCACACCTGCAGTCGATTGCATCGTTGCTGCTTGGCGGATGGACATCGATACTAAACTAAGTGGAAATGGTTCCCTTAGCTACACGCATCAGCAGCCAATATATGTACTTTTTAATCCTTGGTGTCTTACCGACAGCGTGTATATGCCAGGTAATATTGTTATTCTTTGTTGGACTATTAATTGTGTAACTTACATTATTCTTATACTTTACTGAGGATTGCTATATAAGCGAACATCCTACGCTTAAAGATGTATGTGTATGATATAAAGGAAAATAAATGCATATATATCATATAGATAAAAGGGATGACGACTGGGTAAAAAAAATGCAATTCTATTTAGTTCGTCAGTCAGATGATAGAAAAATATTAGATACGTATTTTTTTTACTTCATTGAACAAGAAATAGCTTAGATAAATATTTAAAGGTAGTTAAATATTTAAAGTAGTAGGTAGGTTTATATGGATAATGACAAAATATACACAGCAATGCCTCTGGTCAATACAATGACTGTATAAATGATTCTTTACAAGCCTTATTTGAATTTGGTTTGTTATTAACAAGCCAAATTAAAATTAAGCTTAATTCAAATTTAACTAGTTGTTAAATGTAATATTTGTTATGCGATAACTATTTTACTATCTTTAAAGGTCATAATCATCGCGAAGAATATGTGCAAGAAGATGGTGGGCTAATGTTTAGAGGAGTTGTTAAAGTGATTAAGCCAACACCGTGGAATTACGCACAGTATGAAAAAGATATCTTAGAATGTGCATTATATCTAGTCCGAGAAGTTGGAAAGGTTGGTAGATTTGATAGATCTTGTTAGCTGGTAGATATAAAATATAATTACATCAATTTATTTCAAGGACTTTCAATCGAAATATATACTTAACAAGGAAAAAAATAACGTCTCGTTGTGCATATCTAAATGAACAAAATACTAAATCATAAAAAGTAATTTTGTTATTTTTATAGTTTGACTAAAGCATCGACAAAAATAAAGGCACTATAATTATTTAATCAACTTTATAGATGCTGTAAAGAATAAATTCAAAACCTTTCAAGTTTTGAGTATAATAAATAACTTGAGTAAATCTTGAGTAAAGAAATAACCGGCTGAGATCATAAAAACGTCATGAAAACTTTTCAAGTTGGAATGTGGATTTGGATGATCTTAAAGAGATCATCCAAATTATTAATTTTGTATTAACATTACTAAGAAATTTATCCTAATTTTAGGTGAAGGGCCACGCTCGAGGTGATCCAATTAGAGTGGCTCGCGCACTCTCAGCTGCTGTAAATGTTCAAGATGACAATGGAGTACTGTTTGGCAATTGGGGCAAGGAGCTTAGTGACTACAGCGGAGGCACGCATCCACTTAAGTGGGTCGGTTCACTTAACATTTTACAAAAGTATTACGAGAAGAAGAAACCGGTGAAATATGCGCAGTGCTGGGTCTACGCTGGAGTTTTGACTACAAGTAATTGAAGCTTAATCAAAGTTTAATTTCGTCTATGTCAATTTTCACATTCAGTATATCTAGTTGTGCTTGAATAAAATTTATTCACCTCAGTAATGCGGAATTATCTCATCGAACACGGTGTAGTCTTGTAGACATATATAGATACTAAATATTTTATCTCTACTTTTTAAGTATTCAATAATATTTTTTGATAACAGTGATTAAGTTGCTTAATTACCAATAGATTCCAAAAATGCCCTAGAGTAGACTTCATTCCTATGAAGACATTCAAATGTTATTTTCCAGTTTGCAGAGCACTAGGTATACCGTGCAGACCGGTAACAGGTTTTGATGCCGCGCATGACAGCGGCGGCAGTCTCACCATAGACATCATCCAAGATGAAGACGGCACTATTCTTGAAAACTTCACCAGTGACTCTGTTTGGAACTACCATGTCTGGAATGAGGTGAAAATTTTCAGAAGTATTACTCTTAATATTTTTTTGCCAAACGTTTGTCACTTATGTACCAGAGTTGGATTCCGCGAACTAGAGGGAATGATTTATATATTCTAGCTTTCCGCCAGCGGTTTCACCCGCGTGGTCTTGTATTATACATAAAAACCTTCCTTTTGAATCACCCTATCTATGAAAGAAAACTGCATCAAAATCCGTTGCATAGTTTTAAAGATTTAAGCATACTTAAAGATATAGAGACAGAGAAAGCGACTTTGTTTTGTACTATGTAGTGACTATACGTTCATGAAATTCATTCTATGTACTTCATTCGATGAGTAAGTATTTGATAATATGATGCTGCTGGAGTATAAATACATTCGTAGCATCTGTTTAATGTACAATAATTTTGTAAGATGTTATATATATAACAACACGATAATATCTAACTACAGTCGTCTGGCTCACGAATGCCAAACCGTCGATCGATTTTTTCAATCATTAAATATCTATATTGTTATCGCTCTGTTCTAGTATATAAGATACAGAGACGCCGATAAAGTTTTTAAACTGAGATCGATGTTTCGAATATAGAATCGGCCATGATGTTAATAGAACTGATGCTGTTTTTAGGTATGGATGGAGCGACCAGACCTTGGGCCAGAATATGGCGGGTGGCAGGCGATTGATGCGACGCCACAGGAAATGTCTGAAGATATGTTCAGGTGTGGGCCTGCCTCTCTACGTGCCGTACGCGATGCTGAGGTGCAGCGCCCTTATGATGCCGGATATGTTTTTGCGCAAGTCAATGCTGACAAGGTATATACTAAGTTAATTAATAATTTGAGATATATAACAAAAACATTATCTACACTCCGGTTGAATATACCGGAACATCTATAGCCTTATTTTTAAAATGTAATTTAAAAACAAAATTGCATATTTTACAGTTAAAAGCGATAATTTACAGTGCCACTGTAATGCTAAATTCTATAGTTAGTGATCTGTCTACTCTTATTTTAAACTAAATTCTAACTCACATTTCAGATACTGTGGAAATATTCTGGTGAAATTCAACCGCTGAAATTAATAAAGCGTGATACAGTTTCGATAGGACAGAAAATATCAACAAAAGCAATCGGCAGGATGGAAAGAGAGGTATGAACGCCTGTTAAATTAAATGAAGCAAATGTGTGGTGTGGCATTTTATTGTAAAATAAAGGGATAAATTTTACACATACAAAGACCTCTTGTTATTGCGCAAAATTTTAGTCAAAATACAAGTTTATCTAACTGTATTTGTAAATGATTTGGAATACAATTGAACTCATAAGTTTTATTTATTTTAAGTTATTTTTGTCACGAACTACAATCAATTTAAACATATAATAAAAGTAATGTCTCATTAAATGTTTAACTCTAAACTTCAGGACATAACAGATTTGTACAAATATCCGGAGCGTACACTTGAAGAGAGATCTACAATGGAAAAAGCCCTGCGTCGTTCCGGAAATATCTTTGCACGTTACTATTTGAATGACGCTTTCAATGATGTCGTTTTTGATTTTGAACTACGCGATGACATCAAGATAGGGCAGCAATTTACTGTCGTAAGTGATTTTTTGACACTGTTGGGAATTTTATCAGCAGAAGAGCAGGTTCTCTAGATTCTGCAATATAAAGATAAATCACTCTGGTTTAGAGCGAGCTTTAGTCAGTACCTGTCTTTACAAAAAAGAACTAGATTACGAATTGTAAATATTAAACCACTCAAGTACAAAAAAATATTGTAGTGATACGTTTAAAGTTTCTAAATAAAATGTACAAGCAAGTAAAGAACTTCCTACTGATACTTATAATTATAAACTAATACGAGAAGAAACCTACTGTGCTCTTTTAAATACGTTTAATAAAACAAATATATTTTCAGGTGCTGCACATGAAAAATCGTTCCACAATAGAGCAGTATACCGTGAAAGGTGTACTCAGAGTGGACACTGTGACGTATCGTGGTAAGACAGGTGACAATGTCAAACGGTCTGACGTCGACTTAGTATTGGGTCCTGAGGCTAAACACAAGGTCGAGATGTTGGTCACCTTCAACGAATATTATGATAGACTAGTTGATCAGGTAAGAATAAAATTACCTTTAAATAATTGTTGGCGTCTGATAGATTCACCTAAGATAAATAGAGTAGAACCATGTGTGTCAGTAGAAGAAACTACTGTTAAAGCACAGATTTTGTAATAAGTACTTTACGAGTAGTTATTGCGTCCTTTTTTAATAGTTCAATTTTTAAGTCAATTAGTATTAGTATGAAAACAAATATAAGTTTGCTTACATTATAATATTTCTAAAGCTAACAATCGCGAATTAAAAATGTTTAAAGCAGAGCCAAATTAATCTGCGCTAAGAATTCTTAAAATTAAGATTTAATTTTTATAGTGATAATAGTTTGCTTAGTACAGACAATAATATTTTAGTAAGTGATGGCTCATGTTTTTCTTACAGGCATCTTTCAACATCGCTGCTCTTGTAACTATAGTAGAGAAACAATTCGATTATTTCGCTCAAGATGATTTCCGAGTGAGAAACCCTGATATCAAGATTAGTATAGAAGATAAGCCAGTTTCTAAGAAACAGTTCACTGCAACGGTTAAGCTTGAAAACCCATTACCCATACCACTGAAAAATGGAAAGTTCTACATACAAGGACCAGGTCTGGATACACAACTGAAGATTGAACTAAAAGAGGTACTTACCTATATATCATTAATATAAATCTGTTCTTATTAATTTGGACATCTTTTCATTTATTTGAACCAGTTTAGGTATATTTGTTGATATTACATGCTGTTTATTATTATTTTTTAGCTTGTTTAAATTTTATCTTATATTAATAGGTAAGTAAACTTTATAAATAAATATAAGTTTGCTATGATTTTCATCATAATCACAATTGTAGGTATCAAAAAGTATTCGCTAATATGGTTAATATGGAATCTTTATCGTTGCGGTTGAAATTTATTATAGACTAGTTGTTTTTTCACGACTTGGTCCATATCAATTACAGACTTTGTCACCACCGTTTGATGTAATTTCCCTTAGGTGAACGAATGTTTAAAATCAGTCCAGTAGTTTTGAAGCCTATTCATTGCAAACGAACAACTCAATCTTTATTATATTAGTGTATACTAAACTGACCGTATGCCTGGAATCCAGGATAGTTAATAGTTTACTGCAAAAGCAAACATAATTTATTGCGCACGTGCTCTAGTTTATTGTATAGAGTTTGTAAAGAATTTGCATGACTAGTTAAGGCGTGATGTTTGATTGGAAACTCACAGACTTTGTGTTTGAAGAAGTTTGCTTGCTTTCTATACGAGATTCTTTTTTTTCAGAACGTGGCACCCGGTGCAACTGCTACAGCACAGTTCCAATTGACACCACCATGGGCTGGTCGACATCAAATATCCGCGAAGTTTGATTCTAAAGAAATGCACGACGTGGACGGTTTCTTATCCTTCAAGGTTGCCATGCAGCCAGAAGCCAACGGTTACCATAACGATGGTATGGAGACACACCAGGTCTAATGTGTCTTCTTGTAAAAAAAATATTAATGGAAACATGATCAGTAGAATTGTTTGGGTCGGCACACAAATGGCGAAGCGCAGTATAGAATGCCAGCTAATTTTCTGTCACTTTTTCTTTTGTTATCTATTTATTAGGTAACACAACAGACTTTAATCAAAAATCATACTTAATAAGTAATAACTGAAGTACTAAATTAGTATCCTAAAGGTGTTTACACAATCACTTATAATAAAGGAAAAAAAATAGTGATATGAAAAAAGAGAAAGAAGAATTATATAGCAATCTGCTTCAATAAACAGCCGGGACATTAGGGTTTACCACAAATTCTTTAATACAGTTTTTGAATTGTGTTTTTGAAGTATGTTGAAATATGTCTAGTGCCTGACTAACTGGGAAGATCTTATTATAATTTCTATAGATAGGAGCGACGGGATTATGATAAGATATATTGGCAAAAGTTGGCAGCCCGCGGATTGGATTATATTTGAAATTAATATTAAGAGATGACAGAAAATATTCAGAATCAATTGTTTCAGATTTAAGTTATATAAGTATTATATAAGTAGTGATATTCAGCGCATGTGAATGTAAACAATGTAAGATAGATAGTTTTAATATTATTATTTTCTGTAAATAATCAAATAAATACAATTATTTTACTATGTTAAATACTAAACAGAAGAAAGCGAGTAAAGAGTATTAAAAAGAAATGAAAATGACTTGCTAAGACTCTAGGTGGCTAATAATAAAGTATATAGTTATACGACAATTGAGTACTAACATTGCTTTTTCATATACATACCTGTTTACCCATTAATATTATAATTAAATAATAATATACAATATTGAAATACCATTGTGACGTCACAGTCTACCTTTTTGAGAGTTCGCCTTAGATCGTAAACTTTGATAAAGAAAAAATACAAAAATATATTAATTATAAATAGTTTTATTTCCAATATTGATTATTTATTTTACTTTATTGGGTGTGTTTCAGACATCTATCAAGATTGACATTGAAATGTGTTAATTAGGTATAAGGAGATTGTATGTTAGATATTAAGTTGATATTTTGTAAATATGTAATAACTACTTATGTATTTGTAAATTGTTTCCTATTGGAATAGAAAATAATAAAAATCACAAGTAAATCTTATTTAATATCTATTAATCTAATATTTATTTTAAGAATACGAACTTGACTGAAAGTTTCAACAAATAAATTAAATAACGTAATATTGCTGATCTGTTTATTCAAAAAGGTTGTCATGCTATTATATTCAATATTTATAACTAAAATTAAGAATTTACCTACCTTGATAGTATGTAAATTATTACTCAAAAGTTACTTCTGAGATTTTTCTATTTTAATGACTGGTAAGGTTGTATTTCTTTTGTTAAAAATTATTTACTTTTAACTTACCTGTTTAAAAAGATCTAATTCTAAAAATCTAAGAATATTATTGAATAAAAATACATTTCAATAATATCTATTTTGTGTTATTTATTATAATTAAGAAGAAAGAGTGGTTGCACTATTGTTAAAGTTAGACTATAAAGTTATATTATCCATTGATTTATTATATTTATGAAATCTATGGATTGTTTCACATTAAGTAAGCAGCCCTGCGATTCTGTAAAAATCCAAACCCGAATTAGAATTCATTCAGAGATAATCCTGTACAGCGCCCCTAGTGGTAACTATCAATAACTACAAATCTCCATACAAATTCTTAACGCGCTCACTAGTGAACGCGTTAGCGTAAAACTTACGATTACCACTCAGATGTGTCAAACGCATGTGTGTCTGCTAAATATATATATAAGACAATTTAATGTATGTTTATTATAAAAAAAAAATATTTTGACTCGTTCCCCATGTAAAATTTAACTATGGAAAACAATTTTCCAACCGAGTAATCTTATACTGTTTTTTTTTCACGTTTTAGCAAAAATAATATTTCCAATTATAGTTATCCGCGAAATAGGGTATATCATCTTTAATATACTATCTAATGGAGAATCATTTGTGCTTAAATCAGATCTGGAACTTCAGGATTGTCTACAAAATCTGGAGAAGGTTGTTTTACTATAAACTTAAGTCTTGGGTCAATATAGGTAGGCATAGAATTTGATTGTGTCATTTTGGTAAAATCTAAATTGTTATCAGCAGGACCTATTTCTAAAAATTCACGTTTACTTTGTCCTGAACCTTTCTGACAATCTTTTTCTTGATGGTCTGTGTATAACTGAGCGTGCTTTTTTGTATTCACCTCAGTAGCAGCAAGGTTGGAAAGCACAGCATTAGCTTTCGGCATTGTAACTAGCAAGTGACCGGTTATTTGGGAGCGTTCAGCTTTAGAGTTAGTAGTGTCTACTTCCTCCGGTAGATGGAGCTGAAATATTTTACCTTTCACCATTACTCTTACATAATTCGGTTGTACATCAACATCTATTAGGCTGGTGTCTAAATGTTTGTAGACAGCTAAATCAAGAACATACATGCCTGTTTCCGAGTCCTCAAATTTGAAATCGATTTTTCCTTGGTTGATGTTAAAAGGTCGTCCATCGGGAGCGAAAAATTTGTATGTCCGTTTTTCTTCCTTTTTTTCTGAGGTTTCATAACTTTTAGCTTTAAGTTGGCGCATATGCTCAATCTCGTGGCGCACTTCTGGTGCGTGTTCACATTTTTCGGCCCAGAATTTTTTATTTCTTTCTTCTGGATCCATATTTTTATATTCGTTTTCCCACTTATCTTGAATATTCCGCTCCAGGCGTGCCTTTTGCTTTTTTCTTTGACATCTGTAGTTTTCTTGCTCAAATATGACATCTGATCTTATTATTTTCAGATTTTGTAAGGCTTTAATCCTATCAGAACGTTCTATATCTTTTCCATCCAAAGTAGTAAGTTGAGGTAATGTTCCAATAACAAAGTCACGATAGTTATCGTAATCTGTGCAAGGGTTTCCTGTCAAAAATAAATTTTCGAGATTGTAGTTATTAACAAGGTTTTCCACACTCACAATTTCTCCGATAAAATTCAGAGTAAGGTCCAGTTTTTGCAACGATTCACATCTTTCTAGATTTTCTATCTTTTCTATATTATTAAGTGCTAAATTTAGGTAAGACAAATGTTTTAACTTATTTAAATTTTCAATTTTTGCAATTAGATTGCTTTGCATTAAGAGAATTTTCAGTTTCGGACACCAGTCTTGTAAATATTCTATCTTTTCAATATTTTCTTGGTGTAATGCAATTTCTTCTAATGGTCCCAATTGACGGTCATGATGCTCTGCCTTCTTTCGCACCAATTCTACTGTTATTTTCACCATTTTAAGTGTGTAATGATTGCGATTTGAAAAGCTCTGTAAATGCAAGATCGATACGTAATCGTAAATAAAATGCCGTTGCCTAGAAACAGTGACATGAACGTGGCCCTTGGTAGCTTTGTGCTGATGTAATCTATGAATCTAATTCTATGGTTTAACCATAGATTTTCATTTGAAATAAAGGTATTTGGTAATTAAGCCTCAAATAATCTTATTTAAGATTTAATGTATGGATATGATAGCAAAAGGACAAACGATAATACTGCAAGAGTTTTAAAATATTAACCTTTACATGTTGAGCAGAACTAATTAGAAGTAGGGGTTCACATTTATTAACTGAAAGCTCAGTGGTTCGGCAGTCACGGAATCAACAAGATCTCATGTGGTTATCTTTCCATCTCGTCGGTTGGTAATCCGTCACTTAACATTCCAACGATGGCACAGGGCCGGGTAGCTCAACCGTAGTAAATTAATATCGCCGTCATGTAGATGGTATTAAAAATTTTAAACGATGCCATTTATAATATGACGTTCAGAAATCAAGTCGCGAGGGCTAAACATATTTTATTCCAAGAAACTGCCAAAAGACAATGAGGATGAAGGATTACTATCATCAAAGATTCGTTTTATTGTTAATATCGGTCCGTCGGGAGGTAAAAAAAGGTAGATAAAAAAACAGAAGATGTTCGAATGAAATAAGGCATGACAGAGGGAAAGACGGTGTTATTAGTGGCACAGGGCGCAGGCAGGGCGCGGCGCCCCGCGGTCTGTGTGTGTTTAGGGTCGCGCGCACAGCGGGATGCAACGCACTAGAGCGGAGAAACCAAAACCAACTCAAAAATGACATAATCAAGCTACAATGACTTTTAAAGCGATAGTATAAGAGACCATTTGAATGTTTACTTATAACGTTTAGCGTGTGCATAACATTGCAAACGTCGTGCCCACTTATTGAAAGCAGATAATTTAACATTCTGTTGTTTAAACAAACACGCTAAAGTGGTCTAGAGGATTATTGAAATTACAATATGTGCATGTGACAGTTTATTATTAATTGCTTGCATATATAAATTTTAATTCACTAACTTACTTTTTTGGGAGATCTTTAGATAATAGATATGTAAATATAATAATAGACAACATCTATCTTAGATTAAAATCTGTTTTCAAAGTAAGTAGTTATACTAAAGGCACTGTTCTAGAATTTAGTAGGTAATAATAACAAAAAATTGAAAATATAATGTCCGAATTGTTTATTTTCTAAAAATTTAAAGTTCTAGGATGCCTACGTAATAGTTAGGAATCTTTTTGAAGCAGTAAAACAGATTTGGGGGTTGCGTACTGTGTTCTATTCACCAGAATATACGACATCAAAGTCAACTTGGATGTTAATAAAGTTAAACGGTTTTTGAATACTCGAAAAAAAAATATATATATAATTAACAGACTACTGAAAATTCTCTTCTAGGGTTGCTAACTGAATCGCTGAAAATATATAAAATCATGGTACACCAGTGACATGAACAATATGAAAACTATAAAGAGTATAATATCAAGGTACATAAATTTCACTACACAGAGTTTAGCCTGAGTCACATCTTATAAAAGACATTTATAGTAATTCTGTTGCACTAAATAGATTTAATTTAGTTATAATCATTTGAAAGTACATTTTTAACTCTGTAAATAATTCAAATAGAATATATTTTTTGTAATATAGTAGTTATATAGGTTCCTAAATATATTTCATACATTATCTATACGTTATAGCGTTAAAAAAATTAAAAATCTATTCCAAATTTTTATTTTTAGTTCAGTTTTGAGTGTAGTGCAATATAATCGCCTTTCTTTCTTCCCTAGTTTATTCGCTTAGAAATAGCGACATCTATGGATCGATAAAACTACAGCTTAAGTTCTACAAAGCGTTAATGGTACCATTTTATGTTTCAATTCATCTGAAGCAGTATCTAAAACCACGGAAATGGCCGCCAAGACGACGAGCCAATACGTGTACATGAGTTTAAAAAAAATGTCTCGCAATACTATTAATGGAAAATTACCTCATAGTCTAATGTAGTCACTTGATTTCTCTGTTTAGAATAAAACAGTAAGAAAAAAGCAGTTCTTGTTGAGTTTCTTGCTGGATCTTCTCAGTGCAAGATCTTTCGCCATAGATTTGCGAACCGCTGGCATAGCTTTCGACATTCACAAGTGCTTGTAAGAGTTAAGATTGAAAAATGATATTTTATTCAAACAAAATTCAGCCACACTACCTACTTTATGGTTTTTTTGACCCTCATTACCTGCAATGGATTACCAGATAAATAAGTTTTTGTGATATGATGATTGATAATGGACTCTTATACTTTAGACAACATACTGTCTTCATCACTGACTCGTTCACTCACTAATGATCATCAAATTATTTCTGAAGTCGTAGAGTGTTGAAATACGATATGCAAGCGAGTATACATAGATAATACAAAAATTCTAAAATTTTGAACTTTAAACCTCCTTTTCCTTAAACTACGATGTCGACTTGTGTACGAGACCAGTAAAATTTGGGCTTAGAGATCTAAACATTTTAAAAGAATCTTTATTTCTTGCTAGAGATCGGAAAACTAAATTCTATACCTTAATCAAAATATATGGCTTGGCCGTTTTATTTCTACAAGAACTATTTAGTATGTTAATAATGATTTTCAGTAACGTTGTAACTACCGTTTATTTTTCGTAGATATCATGCATGCAAACTTTTTGTCTTTGATATTAAACATCATATCTTTTTATTATTCACCTTTCGTAATTAAAAATTTTGACTAATCAAATATACTCTTTTTGGATGTCAGTTCGTAAAAAATTGATCTGTTGTAACATGTAAATCACATTTTATAAATCTAAACATAAAATTTTATTAATAATAGTTAATAATAATGAATGAGTAATTCAAATAGGAATTATATAATATAATATAATAAAAGTGTATTCTGTTACTTGGACGATTCAAGTTTTTATCAAGAAACCGAAAAAGGGTATGTATTCGTTTTATTTGGTAATTTAAAATTTTATATTTAGTTTAACATACGAACTGTTTTTATATTCGTTTTTTGTTTGTTACAGTTTCTTTACTTTATCCTTTATACCATAAATAAATCCATTTCAAGCTAGTCAGCCTTTCATTAATTGGCCCAAGCATCGAACCCAACCGAACAATGCTACCGTCACAACGTTATGCTATGACGGTAACAAATTGAGCAATCCACATATTTTGGCGTATGTATGTATATAGTTTGAAAAGTTAAAGCTTCTACTCATAGAGTTCTTCGCAAATAAACATTTATTATTATTATTATTATTATTATTATTATAGTTAGGACATGTTGTGAGAAGCTTGGCTTTACCTAAGACTTCAGCTTCTTTCGTGTCGTCTTGGCAATATTTTACATGAAAATGTTTTTGATGCATATTATTTCTCGTTTACCATTATAGAATCAAGATAGCTTTTATTTTTAAAAAATATTTTCCGCTCCTCAAGCTGAGCCAATAATTTGGTTCAGTGCACAACATCACCTGTGTAACATCAGAGCCGGTTTTGTCCGTTCATGTGTCATGCCAAGTCATAACAACCGTCATCACTCCAACACTACAACTGGATTATTTGAACATAACGAATATCCTCTCGGAGGAATATGCGCACAATTCGTTTATTTGTGATTCACTTCGGCTCTTATGCAAAAGGTGTGCGATGTGTCATTTAATTTTTTTATTATCTGATGACTATATCAAATAATTTGACTTTATTCGATACAAATAAATAACAAAAATTTCCTAATCCTTCTGTAGGTATTTCCTGCTTCGACTTCCTACTGAGTTAAAATGAAAAATGCTTTTACTTTTCTCTAACTTATTTGGCGAGAGTCGTAGCTATTTTTGATGACGATTTCCATTTGCAACAAAATGTTTTAGTAAATAGTTGAGATCAATACAATGTATATGGCGCTGGCCAATATCATATTGAGTCTTGTTTAAGATTCTACAAAAGATTAAATAAATTTATTGTCACGTCAAGGCTTGGCTATCATGATTACCTATCAAATAGGGTTGGCAATATTTCTTCAGCGAAATATAGTATTTTTCTAAAGAAAATATAAAAATCTACTGCACTTCAAAAATATATAGTATCAGCGATATTCTCGCATATCCCACCGGAACCGTAAATGTAAATAAATGTTACGTAATTTTTTTGTTAGCAAAAGTGTCAAATTTAAATACTTAAAAGCGGTATGCAGACCCGAATTGTATAATAAAAAAATATATTTAAATAGTAGTAGTAGTTGTTTGGTTGGCAACCCATAGATAACTGAAATTGCTTAATTATTTACTGGGTCAATTGCGGTTTCCTAGGTTCAACTGGCGAAAGCTGTATCTGATATCATTATCTGTCGTGTACGTTGGGAATGTTCATATAACAAATGGTGCATTACGGGCGTCTTGGCTCGTCGGTGAGTCTGCGCGGGCGCACGCTGGCCAGTGGAGCGTGAGCGGCAATCTTGCGGCGGCATCACAGCTCGGGCGTAATCAGCGATTCGTTCCGAGGAGTGGGGCGCGGGGCCGTAGCGGCCGCAGCCCATTCTCACGTAAATAATTACCGGCGAGTCTCAAATTACAAGGCGCCGCTGCAGCCTACCGATACATATTCATCAGATGTTCGCGCCGCGCGTGACAGCTTCCTCAGGGCAGCCGAATGGTCCTCGCTCCGCCGCATCCCGATACGACTGACTTGTTCGCGACGGCAAAAACACGTCTGCTCCATTTCGCTCAATTAGAACCAATCTGTCACTTCTTCATTACTTTATGATATTGGTAATGAATTTTTAACGAGTTCTGTAAATGTTTAACAACTATTTTAGTAAACAGAGCAACTAAAGCTTGAATCAGTTTGTAACTTATTATATAAATACTTCAATGATTCTGTATGATTTGTTTCTAGAAAAAAAATACAG